GGTGTCCACAGCGCCCCTTGGAAATGGTGGGGAGGCGGCTGTGTGAGTTTGCATCCCGGCCTGTGCAGGTCTGAGTTACTATCTGTGCCACCGGGAACAGGCTACTGCCTGGTGCCTCTTGTTTCCTCATCAACAAAATGGGCGTATTAATAGAACCTACTCATAGGGCTGTGGTCAGGACTGAAAGAGCTAATGCCATGCTGGGCACGTAGAGGTGCTCGGTAAACACTGGCTGCTTTAATATGATCATTCTGGGCCCTGCATGGTGATTTTCACGGAGTGTCTGGTGTCTCTGGACACAGATTTGCCTACAAGGCTTTCTTCAGTCCAGCTTCCACCCCCAGCAGCCTTTCTCTCTTGGGGGCGTAACAGCTTCCTGCAATTCTGTCTGGGAAGAAGTGCTCAGGACTCTTCCATTCTTTATTTTATTTTATTATGAAAACTTTCGAACGCACAGAAGTGGAGAGAACGATGTTACGATACCCTGCGTACCCATCAACCAGCTTCAACAGTTATCAACAGCACCATTCTTAGCCACCTAGCTCTCCCCTCCTCCCGTCCTCTCTGTTTCTCTCCCTTCTTCCCTCCCTCCCTCTTTTCCTACCTCTCCCTTTCCCTCCCCAGTAGCTATTTCTTTTGCTGGAATGTTTTAAAGCAAACCCAAGACATCCTATTTCACCTGCTATGTATCTCTATCACAGAAGGCCCGGTCCTACTTTAAAAAAAAAAACAAAAATACAATACTATATCACATTTATTAAATTAGCTCTGATTTCTTACTATTATAAAACATCCAGTCTGTTTTTAAAGCTCCCAGATTGTTTCAAAAATGTCTTCTTTTCCGGTTGGTTATTCAAATCGGTATCCGAATGAGGTCTTCCTATGGCCTTTAGTTGAAATTCCTCTTAAATCCCTTTGAATCTGTAACAGTTCTTCTTTTTTAAAAATGCTGTCATTTATTTGTGGAAGAAACCAGACCTTTCTCCCTCCAGCGTTTCCCGCAGTCTGACTTGGCTGACTGCGTCCTGTAAACGAGGAGTTTGAAATCCAGAACCTGGATTAGATTCAGGTTCCATTTGTTATTTCTTGTCAAAGATGACTTCCCAGGGGGTGCTCTGTCCTGCCACCGCCTCACGTCAGATGGCACAGACTGTCTGCTCGTCTCTCTCATGGCGCCAGCCCAACCCATTCGCTGTCAAGTTCTCTGTCAACTTCTCACCTAGATGGCTTTCTGAGACGTTGGTGGTCACTGTCCACGTGCATGATTTCGTCAGTCCTGTCATTCCTCCTGCAGACATTATCTTAAAATTCTTCTACAAAGAAGGACTATCCCACTTTTAATCTTTGTTTTACCCTGAAATATGAGGGTACTTTGAAAAGTTCATGGACGGATCTGTATTCTCTTCTTTTTCCCCACTTTTACACTTACTTTATTTGTTCCAGTAAAACAATTACTCACTTACATAACAAATGTTTCTTGAGCACTCACTGTGTCCTGTGGGGGGTGTTGTCTTTTTCGCTAGTAATGGGGTAAAAAGCCTGTGCTCCTTTATCTTCCCTTCTACTTCAGGGTCTGAACGCTGATGTTTCAGCCACAACTTTTTTAAAAAAAAATATCCCCAAGTTCGTACAATTTTCACCTTCCTCTTATCTATTAAATCTTCTCCTCCTTCTCACAGTCTCTGTTGTTATGAGTTAAT